GAGGAAGCCCACAGTGCGCGCGGCAGAACGGGGGGGTGGGTGGGGGGGGAATGAATGCATTCTGGGTGCATCGGCCTTATAAACATGTCTGTATCAGATATATGGCGTGTGTGCCGGATAGGGCAGATGTGGCATACTCTCTCGTTTCCTCTCTGCTGTGCAGAGAAGAGACACTCACTGTGGCTGTGAAAACCCGCCGGGAGCCCTGCTAGACTGCAAGAGTAGACTTATAACATAGACAAGGGGGGCTAGGTGTGAATTTACAGGCTGTCTTTGCTTAAAGAGGAAAGTCAAACGGGACTTAAAAGACTAAAGAGCTTTTATTGTAGTACAAGTGTTCAGATGTGTGTTGCGGAGATGTATACAAAACGCACAGTAGGGGTTACTCCAGTGGGAGTATGCACAGGATTGTAGTATTAGTGCTAGATAAATGAGAAACTTCAAAAATGTTGCTTAAAAGGGGCAAGGCCAAGTAATACTGAAATCCTGAGCATGTCTACTCAGAAGTAAATTTCACATTTCAGTGAGACTGACTCATAATTCTTAGGCTTGCAACTTTAGTCCCCCCCCCCTTTTAAGTGGCGAGTCCTATAGGACAGGTGGCAAAAAAATAAAAGGGCTCATTGATTGCCTTTGTATACCTGAAGGAGATGGATCTCAATAATGGGACCTGAATTCTTTGTCAGAATTGCTGGCTGTTTTGGAAGATCCTGGCTTTTATTCAGAGACTGAACAAATTGGGAATAGGAGGGAATTTTCCTCATTCTTTGTTTTGTTTTTGACCCTGTTCTTTACACATTCCCCTTTAAGCATGCATCTTACTTAAGACGTGTAGAGCTTTGCTCCATGTGAATCTTGGTGTGGTGCTCCTTACCATTCTTACATTTCTTTGCCATAGACAAGTAGGATGTTGTTGGTTTGTGTAATTATGTGTGAAGGCAGGAAGCACAGTTCTAGTCTTCCTTGACCTTTTGGTTCTTAGCTACCTAGCACCTTTGCAAATTGGTAAACAAGTGAGGAGGGTTTTGGCGGGCAGGAATCAGTAGTCCTGAGTTAATGTTATGGCGTCTCCTATGTAGCTGTAGTGGTTTATGTGGATGAATGGTCTAACTCAATTCAAGATACCTTCATGTGTTCATACATGCTAGCTCTTACAAAATATTACGAGCCCATATACCCATGCAAAACCCACCAGTTATCTGTAATGCACTGACAGCCTGAACTTTTGAAAGTCTGGTTTTCTTTCAGTTTATGAAAGTTTCTCTTCTTGGTCACCTCAGGCCCACAGGGGCATGAGCGTTTGCAGCCCTAGATAAGCAGCTCCCCCCCCCCCATTGCATCTCAAATGATACTTCCTTGGGGTGAATCCATGAGTTGCTGACAATGAACATTTTTCTTCTGTATGTAGGTCTAACTCAGCTGCAGACCAGTCAGCAGTTTATGGGTTTTATACTGTTCCTAAATGAAAAAAGTGTATATTATTTGTGAACTAGCTTTAGAAGGCTATGTGAGAGCATTTTCTTGTAACCTTGTGCTAAGGTAATGTCTGTAGTCTGCATATGGCTGCTTTACTTTGACAGCTGGAATTACATCTGTTATACAAACAAAAATGAACAGCCAAATGGAGAGGAAAACATGGATTGAACTTCACAGTACTAAATAGGGTTTAGCCAATAATCTTTAAATGGCCCAATCTCTGGTTCAATGAAGTAATCCTCTTAATAAATTAACTGCCGGTCCTCTCTTTCTGGACCTATCAAATCAAGGTAATTGACTTGTTTTCACTCTCCCCTCCTTTCCCCTGGAAGTTAATTTCAAATCCTTCGCTTAGACTCTTATTACTTGCATAGTAACTCCCATTCTGTTTCCGAAGGATCTGAAAAGGGGAATTGTCTCAATTAAGAACATGCTGTCTACAAGCTTTTTATTTTTAGAAACTTGCAGTTGATTAACTCCAATAGTCTTTAACCTGATTTGAGCAGCATGCACACACACATTTGTACACTATTAAAATGTTAGGATTGTGGTCTGCTGCTGTAGACTGGAGCGTGAATAGATAGGCTGAGTGACACAACATGAAGGTGACCGGGCTGATTTGAGGTTAAGGTCAATGAAAAAATAGCAGTACTAGTGTTTGGAGGTGGCCTTCTCTTTTTGCCTCCCTCCCCCACCCTCCTTCCAAGAGATCTTCTTATATGTTGACTTACAGGAAGTTAAGGCAAAACCACAAGCTTCTGTGGTCAAGGCTGAAAGAGCCTGGGGGAAGTGATGTGTGCTCATATGAAGAGTACATTTTCATTGTTCGTTCTGTTCTTGTCGACAAGCCTCTTCAAAGGTAATAGTCTAAAATGAAAGGCAGGTTGGATAGTTAATGTGAGGTTGGAGAATGTATAGGCCTTTACTTCAGGTTTAACAAAGAGAATGCAGTTGAGAATTCAGAGAGGTACATGAACAATGAATGTGATGCATGAGCAGCAAAAATGAGACAGAATAAACTACATTTGGATCTTAACACCAAAGCATGAAGTAAATAGCTTTAAAAAATTGAAAGAGTTAATTGGTTAGATTTCTTTTTAACAAAGACTTCAATTCATTGCTGCTAACGTGTTCCACTCTTCTTGTGTTGATCATAAAGTAGGCCATGTACACATAATTCTATGACATCACTGAGTCTACATCTTTACAGAAACTTGTTTTATGAATCATATATTTTAATCCCGGCACTTCCTTGTTATTGGCCCTAAGGTGGGATATGAGCTCCTGTTAACACAAATCATAGTTCCTGTGTGATCCATGGTAGCAGTAGGATTCAATAAACCACACTTTGCTCAGTTCTTTAGGTGAAAAGTTTGTCTCCTTTGTATGATATAGCAGTCTGACAGTTGTTTAGCCTTCCTGTGTCAGTGGAAAATTTACTGTTTGGTCATTTTTGATCAGGCTTGCAATAAAATCTCCCAAAGTACACCACCCTGTGCCCATGAGACAATGGAGAATAAAGATCTAATTAAATAATAAATGAAGCACCAGAAACCAATCCCTTACTTTGCCAGTTAAGATTCTGTGACAGGCATATCAGATTGGGCGATGTAAATGTACCACACCCAGTCTCCTTTCCCCTATTGTAGACTTGGCAAAGCAATTGCAGTGGAGACATGGGAAACCTCTTCATTTTTCAGCTGTGTGGTTTATGCCAACCATATTGCACAAGAACTCAGAGAGAAGCCTGGGATAATCATTTGGGAGGCAGAAGTGGCAAATGTTTGCCAAGGAGAGTTTGGAAGGTGTTCAAAGCTTTAATATACCCAGTGTTTGTCTATTTCCTTGCAGTTCCCCAACTTAATCTCAGTTGGTAGTGGCCTTGATCACACAAGGCAAAGGGTATCTAGTACTGCCCATTAGAAGAGCCTTATGAGCGCTGTTGAGTCTAGTGTGTCAGGCAATCCTTTCTTTCTTGGCTAAAATACCATTTCTTCTGTTACTTTCAGCCACAAGTGTCCCATCTCCGTCTGGATCTGTTCCTGGAGCTTCTGCCCCTTTTCGACCTCTCTTCAACGATTTTGGGCCCCCATCAATGGGCTACGTGCAGGTGAGTTTCTGCTTTTGTACTGAAAGGGGGTCTTGCCAGCTATTGAGACTAATAACAGAAGACGATTGTCCTTGACATTTGCTGTGGCCTTGATCTTACAGGCTATGAAGCCACCAGGTGCCCAAGGTTCCCAGAGCACATACACGGACCTGCTTTCTGTTATTGAGGAGATGGGCAAGGAAATCCGACCTACTTATGCAGGCAGCAAGAGTGCCATGGAGCGGCTGAAGCGAGGTAGGAAGCTTCTGATCATGGGCACATACAGTAAACCACTTTGCCTTATAAGGGATTTGCTGCAGTAATGCTCTGTATTCTTGATATTTGGGGAGGAACAGTGGGGAGGGCTTCTGGAGTTCTAGCCCCACTAGTGGACCTCCTGATGACATCTGGGTTTTGGCCACTGTGTGACACAGAATGTTGGACTGAATGGGTCATTGGCCTGACCCAGCATTGGCTTCTCTTATGTTCTTACTAAGTGGCTTAATGAAGTCCCAGATACAATTTCCAGCAGATGACTTATTGGTATTTTCATTGCATCCCCAAAGGCATTAGAAATGACAGTTTGCGCGTCAGGTATTGCAACTTAAATCTTTAGTAGAGTGTTTTGATAGTTACTAGTGTTGTGATTCATAGCTAATGGTTTATTTGATAATTATCCATTTCTTTCTCTGACATCTTCTGTCCCTAGTAGAATTTAAATTAACTTCTGTCATTGCACAGCATACAATAGGCAAACATGACTCCCTAGAACTCCCATCATAACTGGCCAGTGTTTCAAATGTTAGTGGAGCTAGCTGCAACACAGCTGAAACCAGTAGAACCTGCTGGGTTAGAATTGGTATACTCCAAGGGTATAACTCTTGATTGCACTGAAGAATTGCCCTACTTCTGTCTAGCTAGCTGCTGTTCAGTTTTTTTCTTCCAGCTTGCTTCAGCAAGCACTTCTCCTCTACCCACATGTCCTGATTTACCACTTGCGTCTCCATCTTGCCCCATAAAAAGTCAGTTTAACAATATATTTCTCTTATTTCAGTGTAGGAAAAGGATATGATGGGTGAAGAGATCACAGTTGTACATTTTGACAAGACAGCCTGCTCAATTGGTTCTATCAAACTGTGTCCACTATGTCTTAGCTTTGTGCCCTTCCTTCACAGGGATTATCCATGCCCGTGCGCTGGTAAGGGAGTGTCTGGCAGAGACAGAGCGCAATGCCCGTACGTAACAGTTGCTTCCTCCTGGCACCTCCTCGTGGACTTTCTGGCCAGTCATCACCACTTTGAAATCTGGAAATCTACCCCCTACCCTTTCTGTCAATCAGTGTTGTACATACTGGAACTACCATTGCCTTCAAAGACCTTTATAACAATTGGCACCTAAGAATCTGAAGTGTCTCCTGCTGCATCACAATACTTCCCATCAATTGGCATTCTGAGAATTGATGCAGAAACATCTTTGTTGCACACACCTGATCAACCAATGAGAATAATGGCTGGTTAGCAAGTCTGTCTTTATAAATTCTGTGGGGGTTATAAATAAAAGAAAAGCTTTGGAATTGAGATTCTCTTTTTCCCTTTGTTTTTAAAATCCCCTGTGAAGGAAACTAAGACTTGGGGGGGGGGGGTGTCTTCTGTTGCAAGATGTGCTCCCATAGGGAAGTCGGATGTGGCCCTCTGCACCGCTAGCCATGGAAGCTTCGGCCGAGGAGTCATTGAGCCAATACTGGAAAACTTGTAATAAAATATTTCTGCTCTTATGTGTGCTGCCTGAATCATCATCATCATCATCATCATCAATATATTGCTGCTGAAAAGGGGAATCCCTAGTGCTGATCTTCAAAGAAGAGGTTGGATTGTTACCCTAAACACTTTTCTTCGTTGGGATGGGTTTTTAGGGCTTCTTGACATGGGTTATTACAGGCATTTTGAAATTTCATAGAGGCCTGTTTGTGTGAGTTTGGAACTCAGTACCTTTTAATCTCAGAAGAGAGGATCTCAGGGACAGAAATATCACTGTGTTGGCACAGATTTGTCTTTTTGTTGTTCATCTCCTACTTAGACGGGTTACTACTTTCTGCCCAAGAACTATTGGTGGGACAGAGTGGCACTTAGTTTTTTAAGGCAATCCAATGTTTATTTTATTTGCTTATAGTCTCCCTTTTTTACTGAGAGCTAAGGCAGAGTACACAGTGTAAGTCAATATGATCAGCGTTTGCCAACTTGTTCTCTAACCCCTTCCCTGATCTTTTTGTGTTATGTTTTGCTCAGCCTATTCTGAGACTACCAATAATCTTAGCAAATATGATAGAAAAGCCTCTGGGGAAAGGAGATTACAGGAAAGAAACTGCAAGTGAGTGTGTGAAACTGTGTCTGTCTGCTTATTTCCCCCTATATATGTCTTGTCCCTGTGCTAATATTCGGGATAAACGATTGTAGGTGTAACATGTAAATCGGCCCTAAAGGCTGCTAATTGACAACTGTTCCCACTATCTCAAGTGAGATGGTAATACTCTATATTCCTTAAGAACACCTTGCATTTCCCCTATCTTTAAAAGGGGGGAGGGGAATGGTTCCAAGCCATGTGTTCCAAAAGCATTTTGCTAGAGAAGAAGGGACTATGGGGTGGATTGAACCGGCTGGTGAAAATGGGAGCAAGGGATCTCCTTTGATGATGGGGCCCAAGCGTGGACAAAAGGCAGGTGGGACAGGGTTTGCAGTAAGGAGGGGAAATTAGGTGATATGGAGTGGGAACGCTGTCTGGGCCTAGCCTAGTGGTTCCCAGGTCTTCCAAAGATGTATCTGCTCATGAGTGGCCTCATGGGAATAGTTCTCGGGCCATGGTTATCTAGGAATAGGTTGAAAGCCAGTGAGGGCTTATAGGAGGTGCCAGATGCACCTTGGCCTCTTCTTAGGAAGCTAACAGACACTGTAGTGTTTGTAGGCATAGGGATAAATAGAGTTTGGGTTGGATGTTTGGGAAAAACAGCATACTGAATTTTGATAGTTTATGTAAATATATGCAAGATAGAGAGTTGAATAGGGAATATTCTGCTATTGTTTTTGATGGAGTAAATTTTAAGTGAACCTTCTTGAAACTCATCCTTCCAAGAGCAGGCCCATTTGTGGTGTATTTGATTAGTCCTTGCTGTATTTCCTGAAAAACTGTATATGGGGGAATAAGCAAAGCCAACGTGAAATATGGTTGTTAGAGGTAAATGAAAGCTTTCAAAACTATGCAGACCTTTATTTAATAAGCCTACAGATAGCCTGCAATGGGCATCCCAGCTTCCTGAAAGTGTGTCTTGAATACATTTGGTGATACGTTGCATGTCACAGTAGAGCATATTTCAGTATGTTACTTGAGGGACAGAAACTGTGGCTGTGTATTCAAATTTCTTTTTAAAACGGCTAGATATTCCAATTTAGAAAAGGAAGAGGTCTCCAACCTGCAAAGTGCACAAAATAGTGAAAGTATTTGGGCTAGAGCTATGTGTTGTTGGCAATTATCAAACAAAACTTAGTGTCTAATACTCCCACAGCCTCACTGCATGTAGATATCACAGGAGGAATGAACTGTCTGGTGGGGGAAGTATCATATTTCCCCAGCTTCAGAATGTACTTTGACTGTTCAAAAAGTGTGCCTGCAACAGAAGCACAAGAGGAGCATGAACACAAAAGGTGTAGTGTGCATCATGCTGTATGAAGTCTGAAGAGGAAACAGTTACATAAAACTGGACTTTATGTGGAGTCTGAAGTTGATAAGAATCACCGTCTGCCTCCACTGACCCTTGGCCAAAAGGGATCAAGGCCACCCCTCAATTTACAAATAGTTCCTGAGCCTGAAATACTATGTATACAGGATTTTATTTTTAGAATTTTAACTATTTTTGGTAGTGGAATAAAATAGTAGTTGAAAAACTTCCGTAGTATGTTTAACGATAATATTATTCATTTTGCTTAGGTGGGGAAGTCTATTCTTCCCACCTAAGGAAAATGAATAACATAATTAAACATGCATGGGCATGCAACACATGAGTTACTTGGCTCTATTCCTTACTGACATAGAGGTGTGAAAATGCAAATAAGAGCTTTGTATTTTTGTACTCTTAGCTATGTGCACACTTGAGATTAAGCCCTATTGAACTCACTGAGGCTTCCTTCTGATTAAAGACTGCAGGGATCAAGCTGTATGCCACTTTTTGTGAGTTGCAGTGTCAAAATATTCCCAGCTAGTATGACTTTGTACAGCTGTGTGCAGACTTCTTATTCAAAGGAACACAATATGGGCTTTACAAGAAGAATCCTTTGTTAGAACTAAACTCACATGTTAATATTAAGCCAAAATTAGTAACAACTGGGTCACTAGGTCTAGGTATAGAACAAAGTGACCTGCCAAACCCTGTCTTCATAGGGCAATGTGCAAAACCAATGTACATGGAAAAAATGTATGACAGAGACAAAAATACAACATAGGCGCAGAGCCTGCTTGGCATTTGGCCGAAGCAGGTTGTTTCATGGCCTGCTCCTACAGCAGTGATGAACTTTAGATCCAGGCTGACAGTTTTAATAGGGGATGCATTTTGACGGAGGGCATGTTCTCCTGCACACTGTGGCAAGCTTTGTGGGACTTGTTTTGCCAGTATTCTACACAGACATATAGTAGTGTCTTTTAAAAAATCTCTTCCATTGCACAGGTCACAATAATTAAAACAAGCTTTCTTTCTAAAATAGCCCATTTCAGTGTGAAATGTTTGGTGCAGTCAGCGTTAGGTAGAGTTTGCATGTGGCAAGACAGGTTACTTGGAGATCGATTCGATTCCATCTATCCGAATGTGACAGAATGCTGCTGTATTTGCGCCTTGCTTCCCTTTTTGTTTCGGAGGTAGAGCTCGAAAATGTCCTGCGGTTGGTTCCCCTGGCTGGGACACCCACGCGGCCGGACTTCTTGAGGTTCCTTGCCAGTTATTGACGTCACCAGCCTCTAACGTCGTCACGAGTGTTTCCCTGGTTATGGGCTGTGATGTCACACGAGGAAGCGGGAGAGGGGGCGCGGAGGCGTCGAAGCCTTGCCACTAGCGCCCGGGCGCAGTTTCCATGGAAACCGGATCGACGGCCCAAACCGCCTGGTAGGAGGAGGAGGCGGAGGCGGCGGAAGCCGCGAGAGCGCCCCGGGCTGCAGGATGCGGCTCCGCGCCCTCTTCCCTCGCGCCACCCGGCGCGGCTCCGCAACACCCCGCAGTGCCTTGAATGCATCGCC